AAGTATATCTTGTTTAATACATCTTTGAGTCAATCCAATTTCAAGTGTTTTTTCTTTATCAAGCAATTCAATGATAGGTGTTGGAAAAGTAACCTTGTCAACTTTCTCTCTGGAAGCTATTTTCTAAATTGTGAAATCAATAAGCTTTTCAGTTGGTTTTTCAAATGCCAAAAGATTCATTTGCCCAGTGAAATTTTTATAACCATGCTAAGCCCAATTCTATTGGGAAAAACTTAAAATAAGCAAAATTCTCAATATGAATATTATCTAATAAATAAAAATATGAAAAAAAATCTTATGTAAGCATTGAAATTTTTCCTCCATGTTTATTACAATACAATGAACCATGATCTGATCACAAAGTTTTTAAGCACTAGTTGCATGCATTGTAAAACCATCCATTAGATGGATCAATATCTATAATTTTTGTTATACATGAGAATTTTTCATTTTATAAAAGAAGTAGAAAAACAAATATAAGAATGAAATATGTATAGATAATAAAAGCTAAGCAGGGAAAAAATAGTTGATAAAGAAAATTTTAAAAGAATTGTATAGCTAAGCTATATCAGCATGGTTAAAATAAAATAATTGTATAAATAGCTTCTTCATATATGAATCACTATTCTAGGTAATCTTGTACAACATATTGAATATGAAACAATGAAAATATCAGTTATTCTATTAATCAGTAGATGGTTATGTGTCGGGGTAATATACATTATTATGCTTAGAATAACTTTTTTTGAAACCAACCATTGATTGACTAAGAACTGAACCATTAGGATTTAACTGGTGGTTTTTTTTATCACTTTTTGATGAGATGTTAAACAAACTTCAAATCCATATAGTTTATTTTATTAAATTTCAGGTATGTGAAAATATATTAAAATGTAGTTTATATACTGAACAAACAAACATTGAGTTTTAGGTACATGAAAACATATTGAAACAGAGTTTGTACTCTTAGTATTCCAATCAATGTTCATATATTATATTATTCTGCAAACAATGGGAAAAAATATTTTAACTATCATAACCCAAATGATTCAAATGTCATCTTTTTATTTTGATGTTAAAATCTTGAAGCTAGTATTTAGTTGACAAGTTAATAATATAGAGAGAAATCTAGTTAAAGCCATTGTCTAGTTGGCTAGCTAAGAATATAACAAAGATTACTATTAACAAATCTAGTAGTAGCTAAATTTGGTAATGGTTTTGAAAATATGTTGACCATGCATGACTTTGTTTTTCTCTTTCTAAAACACTTCAAAGGCATTCTCATTTGCATTTTACTTTTTTCATCTTATCTTCTCGTTTATAAAATTTCTAACCTTTTTTTTTTAATTTTTTTATATAATGTAATTCTCATGCGCAACTATTTAAAATTTTGCATTCATTTGTTTAAAACTAAGTGAATCATCTTTTTACAGTCTTTCTCTTAAAGTAAATGTCATATATATCATCTTCATTCATCATTTTCTACCAAATCAATCTAATGGTTATATTACTAATCCATCAAGTAAAGTAAAAAGAAAAATTGAAAAGGTTATAAAGCTTATCACACATTGAAAGCCATCATAGTTAAGTGTTGAACTTAATCTTAGTATCTTTGATATAATTAATGATAGTCATTTGTTTTGCTTATAGAAATTTTGGCCATCTTTTTTCCTTACAACCACAAGTATCAAAAAAAGATCTCTCCTTATTGTTATAACATTAATATAAGTAGTATTTTCTTTTCTTTTTTTTTTTTTTGTTTTGTAGACTCATTGATATAATAGATGAAAAAATGTGTAATTAAAGAGAGAACACTATGATATGATAAATGAAAGTCAAATTGTAAAACAAATTTCACTGAACTCTTATTCCAAGTAAACAAAAGAACAATTAATTTTTTTTTTTTTGAGTTCAAACTTAGGTAATAAGAAATCAAGCAAGTAAAAAACAAAAAATCATATGTTTAAAGAAAAGTTGAAAGCTATATATTTACACAATATTACCTTGATTTCAACTGGATTCAAACTGAAAAGATCTATAATAGAAACTTGTTTCATTTTTGTTTCACTTATGATTGAATGCTGAATAGGATTTTCTTAAGGGAACAAATCAACTTTTACTCTTTGATTTTCAAACCTTTATTTATTGAGGTAATAAAGGTTAGAAAGAATATATGACCAAATTGTATTAAAATTATATATAAATCATTGAAATGAGTAAACAACATATTTTTCTTCAAGTTTTTTGCTTTTTGAAATATAAATATCACATAAAGTTTCGTTGTAGAGCATGAAGATATGTATGGTTCACCTATTACAACAAATTTGTTCCTTGTTATAATAATATGAGTACAATAGAATTATTTAAATTAAACTACATTTGTAACTTTGAAAGAAAATTTTTTTTTTACAACTTACCTTTGTAACGTCTTATAGTTGCTCTTGCAACTATGATGATAGGGTTTTTAATATCTTCTCAAAATTGTTTTTCATCAATTTGTCTTCCTAAATTGTTACTCTCAAAGTTTTTTCACTATATGATAAAAATCAAATCAATATTTGTAACACAAAGTCAAACATGAGAAAAAAAATCTTGATGTACATTCATTAATATAAAACTTTTCTTAACTTGAGCTCATAGATGATTAAATCTTGTTTGTCAACAACTCATTTAAATGATTGCATCTCAACACCTTGAAGAATATGCTAAAATTAACAAACACTAATATTCTATCATTTATATCATGTGCTTTTTCTTATGTTCGTTTTTTTTCACAACTAATATTTAATTTAAGTACATTTTATAGGTTTTTTTTAGAAAATGATAGAATATAAATCAAAGTAAAAAATTATTATTTTATCTACTAAAAATTTAAATATTTTATAAAAATTTTAAAGATATAATTTAATTTTTACAAACTGTTAAATAAAGTACTAAAAATGCAAAAATGCATTCATTATAACTTCAATGAAATACAACTCAAAAACCAATGGATTATGTTCATTTATAACATATGGGTTGACACAATAGTACACACGAATATACTACACACTAATGTGTTATGCTATGGCAGATCATGTGCCACATGCTGGTACTAGCTCTTTATGGATTGTGTCATACAGGTTCAATAGGTCTTAAATTCCAAGCCCAATATGAAATGAGTATATAAATCGTACTTTGCATGATTTGTGACTATAGCAACAGGCCGTGTCAAACATAATCTATACAAAATCCAATTGGGTCATATCATAGTTACGTAACTTATTTAAAACCTCTATTAGTCAAACTTGTGTTCTGATCTCGTTTGAAAAATTATTTTGTAAATAAAAATATTTTAAAATATATTTAAAAATATTAAACCATAAATTATTTTAATATTATTATAATATTTAAAATACTAACCATTTCAAATAGATGAATTGGATAAAGTTTTGGACATAATTTTATAGGTGCGAATCAAGTTTTAGATACAAATTAATGGCTATGCCAATGTGAAGGTACATGAAACACAATTAGGTCCATAGACACTTTTATATACAATGCTCATAGAAATATATAAAACACAATTATGTAATGGTATTGGTTGTTTGTATATGAAAACAATATTTAGGGGGATTTTTTTTTAGTAAAATTCATAAAATTTTTTATTAAAAATAAAATGAAATTGATAAATTGAAAGAAATTGTTAAATAAATCAAGAATCTAAAATTTAATATAATTCAAACAACATTTAATAGATACTTGGACAATATCTCAACCTTTCATTATTCCATAAAGTATTTTTAGTAATATATTTTTAACTACATTTGGCCACAAACAAAGTTGGGTTTTTTGGTAATATATTTCTAGCAATAAAGCATTTTTACTTTTTATCATACATTATTTTTAATTATAGAAATATCAATAGTGATAATATCATAATGAGTGTTGAATTATAATAAAATATTTAATATGATATATAAATTTTAAAAATCTTTAATGTAATATCTAAAATATAAATATGTTAATTAATGTGATAATTAGAGTCTATGCATTGATCATCATTTGAAGTTAATTACGTTATGAGTAAGTATTATATTAGTTAACAGATTTATAGTTCAAATATCACATTAAAAATTTTTAAAACTTAAGTATCATATTAAATATTTCACTATAATTTGAGGATTATTTTAACATTAACCCATATCAATATTAATACTAATTTAATTTTTTTGTGGAAAGACTTAATCGAAGTTTTCTTTACTCAAAATTATTACATAAAAATTAAAATTAAAAACCATATATGGGTTTGAAAAAAATCAAAAAATGCATTTAATATTTAGCATGTCAAAATTAATTATAACAAAATAATTTTCATGTCTAGCTAAAATATAGCAAAACAATGTGTTTAACCTTTTGATAAATTTTAATCATCAAATGCGATCTTACATTTTTACATACTTTCTTATAACATGTTTGAGAAGAAAGAGAAATTATTTTATTTACTCTATGAAATTTTTAGATTTCACAGGAAAAGTTAGAAGTAAGATAACATATACTCTTTATAATATATTTAAAAATAAAACATAAAAAATATTATAACAATTTTTTAAACTCAATTTTTGAAATTAAAAAATAATATTAACATTGTATCAATTGTTTTAACATAAAATCCCACAAAGGGGGTATTTTAATTATAATATTTTTACTATATTATTATAATCATTCAATTATAATAAAAATTTATGTGAAAATTTATCATTTATAAAAATAAATTATACATAATATTTTGTTAATCAATATGTAATTTTAAAATTTTAATTAATTAATTGTATGTAGGTGAGTGAAATGTTACAAAACTGTTGTTGCAAGTAAAAATAATCCCTGAATAAAAAAAAAAAAACACTGGTAAATCGAGTGCTGACACGAACAGGAAGGAAAGTGGGATTTTGGCAAAATCACATTTTTCGTTCTTTAACAGGAAGTTTCCAAGAAATTGCTCTACTTTTAACTGAATATGCTTGCTTTATCAACACTTATACCTTAACTCCTTTTAAATTCTTCCAACTTTTGATTTATTCCTCTATTTATCGACTTCCTTGTGCTTGGAATAACTTGTTTATGGTTTAGATTTTGTTCCAAAGCCCACCACAGCAATTCTCCAATCCCATCTAAGAAGAAGGGAAGGGAAGGGAAGGGAATCAATCAAAGAACCTAATCAAATGGCAACACAAACAAATGAAGAAACCTCGTTTTGATTAGCATATTATTATTCAGAAATACTATGAATTTGAAGAACCAAGCAATTCCCATGAATTCTTTACCTGCAAGAAAAACACCCATCAAGGCATATTTATAAACACACAAAAGGCCAAACCAGAATAAAACTAAAGTCTTATTTTGTTTCTTTCTGACATTTTTATCACAACAAATAGCAAACTTAAAGTTCCACCTGGGTTTCAATTCAATCACTTGCCATCAAAGAGGGAAGTTAAAAGAGAGATAAATGGGAAAAGGGCAAGTGAATGTGTTGATGCTGTTACTGTTTTTGACTCTCTGTTCAGCTTCTGATCAGAAATGGAGGAAAGCTATGATTTCAGCTGAAAAGGCGACCTCTCTGGTGATGAATAGAGTTGGGTCCTCCATTCTGTTTCCAATTCATGGAAATGTGTATCCAACAGGGTAACTACAGAATATGAATGAATGGGTTCTTTTTTTCTTTTGGTCAAAATTGGCTCTTCTGGAAAAATTTTGTAAATTTTGTTTCCAAATAATGATATGGAATCTATAGATACACTAATATACAGAGTAAAAACAGACATTTCATAGATTTTATACTTTTTCTTTTCATTGAACGTTCATCTGAAATGTATATTGGGGATTTTATGTCTGTCTCTGCACTTAGTATCTTGGGTTTTTTTTTTTTTCTCAAACAAAATTTTATCAGAATGATTACTGCAGTTAGTTAGACAGAAGCTATGGTAATATTGTTTAGAATGTAATTGTATGGTCACAAATTAATCTGTTAGATATCTGCGCATGTGGATGAAATCACGGTGTGCCATTGTTCTCTATTGTAGGTACTATAATGTTACCATCAAAATAGGTCAGCCTCCAAAGCCCTACTTTCTTGATCTTGATACCGGAAGTGACCTGACATGGCTCCAATGTGATGCTCCCTGCGTCCATTGTGTTGAGGTGAAATTATTAGTATATGTACTTTCATTATAATATGGCTAAATTATTTGTAGCTTGCGGTATATCTGACCTTTTTTTTTTTGTTGGTAAGATTAATTGGCTTGCTAATGCTACGTTATCTAAATTGCTGATGGATTCATGATGAGACAGCCTGCCCATATGAGCCAATCCTTCGTGAAATTGAATATTTAATTCAATTATTTGTAGCAGATGCCTTATACTTCAAAATTTTAGCCTAATTACTTATTCCAATTCTATTGCTTCCTGCTTCAATGTTCTGTTATCCAAATTCATTCAGTTTTATTTTATTTTGCTTGTTAAATCCGCTGGTTTCCATCAACTCCAATTTCTGGTGTGATCTTCACTATTTCCTGGATCACAATTTAGTGAATACCACGTTGTAGAGGCTCATATTCAGTGGTACTGCAAACTCTCATTGCAGGCACCTCATCCATTTTACCAACCCAGCAATGACCTAGTGGCCTGTAGAGATCCACTTTGTGCAGCATTGCACCCACCCGGTGACTACAAATGTGAAAGCCCAGAACAATGTGACTACGAGGTCGAGTATGCAGATGGTGGTTCATCCCTTGGAGTCCTTGTGCGAGATGTGTTTTCTTTAAACTATACAAATGGAATCCAACTCAGTCCTCGTCTAGCCCTAGGGTTGGTACCTTTTTGTCTTTCAATGCAAATGGCAGAAGAAATTTACTAGCAGATGTCATGCCCGACCTAAATTGAACCTCAATGCATCCTTCAACATTACGCATTTTGGTTCTTTGTCTGCAGCTGCGGGTATGATCAAATTCCAGGTGCATCGCGTCATCCCTTAGATGGAATACTTGGACTTGGAAGGGGAAAATCCGGCATTGTGTCACAGCTCCAGAGTCAGGGCTTGGTGCGAAACGTTGTTGGCCACTGTTTGAGTGGAAAAGGTGGAGGGTTTCTTTTCTTTGGGGATGGCCTCTATGATTCTTCACGTGTGACCTGGACATCAATGTCACAGGAGTTTACGTAATAAAGTCTTCTCTTCATTTATTTCGATGGTTAAACTTACAAATGATTGCTTTAAATTCTCATAGCAAATCCTCTGCTTGTTGGTCATGGCAGCAAGTACTACTCTCCAGGGATTGCAGAACTACATTTCGGTGGGAAAGCTACTGGCATTAAAAATCTAATTGTAGTTTTTGACAGTGGGAGCTCTTACACTTACCTTAATTCCCAGGCTTATCAAACATTAACTGTTTTGGTAAGTTTTGAGGCAATTTTGATTACAACATTTATGCTACTTTTTTTTTTTTTTGTGGTTGAATCAACTCTTTCTTGTCTACTTCTATCACCAAAATTTTCTTTTCCATGAAAGTTTTTCGAGTTTAACAATGAGTATAAGTGCCAAATATATCTGTAGTTGAAGAAAGAATTAGGTGGAAGGTCGCTAAAGGAAGCCCCAGAGGACCAGACACTCCCACTATGTTGGAAAGGACGAAAGCCTTTCAAAAATGTAAAGGATGTCAAGAAATACTTCAAGACCATAGCTTTGGCCTTTGCAAGCAGTGGTAGAACAAAAACCCAGTTTGAATTACACCCTGAAGCTTATCTTATAATATCAGTGAGCACTAATAGATCTAACACCTGAAATTATCTTTTTTTTCTGGTTTCCTTTTGTCTCTTTTTATGTTCATGCTGCAACACTAACCTGCAGTTTTGACAGAATAAGGGAAATGTTTGCCTGGGAATTCTAAATGGAACACAAGTAGGGCTGCAAAATTTAAATGTGATTGGAGGTAAGAGTTTATGAACCAAGTGAGAATGGTTAATGGCTGATTTACTGTCCTTTCACCGAAGTGATGATAACTTCCTCCTTTTTCTGTGATTTCAACAGACATATCAATGCAAGACAGAATGGTGATCTATGACAATGAGAAGCAAGTGATTGGATGGACCCCTGCAAATTGTGATCAACTTCCAAGGTCCATAACTGCTAATATGTGAAAATTATAACCAAAACTCTCTTTATCCTTGTGTCTTCATCTTAGATTGATGTATAAGATTACATCACCCTAGGCCTGCTGTCAAGAATTTCGAGCCAGGAAGGGTTTTACTATGTTTATTTGTATAATCACCCACGTATATTCTTTTCTTTAAAAAAAAAAAGTGTACTATATATCAATAAAAAGTTTATTGTCTATTGTGTGAATGACTATTAAAATTGGCACCACAAAATAATTAACCTTTTGATTTTGCAACTTCAATCTTTTGCTGCTTGTTTTCAGTCATGGAAAGTGATAGTAAGTCGCAAAATGGGTTTGCAACTTTATATATTTATATGCACGATAAAATTAATTTTGATAAAATTAAAAATAATGATAATTATAATATTACATATTTTATCAATAAAATTAAATTATTGATCAAAATATTTATTTAAATATAAATACAATGATGATAGTAAAAAATTGGATACGATAATCGATTATCTCATAAAAACAATTGATTGTCTCGCAAAAACAATAGACTATTATAATTAAAAATCCTCTTTTTTTTTTTTTTAATTTACACTAAACAGTTGGCTGTTGCAAGTTTCAATGAACCATTGAACCCTTTCCGAAGAAGAACTGAAGAAACAGTACAGTAGCTTCCGACAGCACCGATGCTATCCAAAATGCACCCCACAGTGCAAGCAGAGACCAAAATTCGATACGATGAAATCCAAGTGTAGTAGCATAAGATCTCTTTCATTTTCTATTATGGGGTCGAAAGGGCAAAGAGAAATGGAATTCCAGTCAAATTGTCAAACATGGATATTCCAGATTACATAGAAAATGCAAAATTGTCAATTTTGTAAAGCGGCAAGCGGATAGTGTCTGTTGTTGAGATTACAGCTGCACCTGAATCTGGAATATAATATGCAATATCTTTGTTTGTCGTTTTACTAGGTTCGTCGCCGCCAAAATTGAACTCATTTCCGTCCCATAATAAATAAATAAATTCATTAATTTTAACTCCAGTTTTCAATTTCGATATGGTATTTCATATTCATATTTTTTGAATAAAATATGAAAAAAAAATACTGATAAAATCTTACACTACAATGAATTTTTTTATATCTTCATAAAATTTTTTAACTATTAAATCGACGGAGGGTTACAATAATTTTAATGCTGAGTGTCAGTCTCCTCTTACACAAACCAACCAAATCCTTCCCGAATTGAAAAACAAAAAACAAACCAACACCAGCAACCAAATCCACATCCACATGTAGAGCAAACGATCAAATCCATTCTGGCACTCTATACTTAATCATCTTCAAACTCTTCAAATATTTTCAAATCAGATCCATGCATTAAGCTGAGGTCTAATGAATATCCAAAAATTGAAAATTAAAAAATTAAAAAAAATTCTCTTAAACATCTTAATATATTTTTTTTTGGATATTCTTTTCATCTATAAAATCAATAAAATTTTTAATAATTTTTTGTTGAATAATTATTTAATCACGAATATTGAAAAAGATGTATTTGCTAATATTAATAATGATGTATTTATTTTTTAAAAATATGAAAACTTGTTGAAGACAATTATAATAATATAAAAAAAATTTATATTTAATATATTATCAGTATATAAATATTATATATTATTAAAAAATTATAAGTTACCACATCATTAATTTATTTTAACATAATTAAATATTTAAAAATTAAAAATTAAAAATATTTATTTTTAAAGGTTCAAAAATTTTAAATTTTAAGTGTATAGCACTCTAGGGAAACATATAATCTATAATTTTTTTATTACAATATAATTATCTAATCAAAATAAAAATTATATAAAAATTTATTATTTATAAGTATAAATTTCACATAAAATTTTGATAAATCTCACATCATTCTCAATTATAATTAATGATTGTAGTTTAATACTCAACACTTTATAGTGATAATACATAAAATATAAACCATATAACAATACATTATTTCGAAATTTATTTATAATATATACTATAATTAAACGCTTCACAAAGAATTTCTAAATCCACCGATGTTGTTCTATACCAATTCCCCTGACCATCCCTTGCTGGCGCCTGGAGAAATTTCAAATTTCTAAATTGGAAACTAAATTTAGACTACTAGTCCAAATCAATATTCAAATCCATCACATCAAAAAATCCATTCGAGTATCCATTCTTGAATTGCAATATACCATTTCACATATGTTTTTTCTTTTTTTGTTTTGAAAAAATATATATTCTACAAATCTTACAGACACAAGAATTTCCTATAATCTAATTTAGTATTCACATGAGGTAAATTTAACAGGTGCCATTGGATCACCCACCAGTCAAGATGAATCCAATCCGTCAACACTTCACCAACCCCAATTTATGCTAACCCCATCTCTTTTCAAGCCTCCGCTCGTGCACTTTTTTCGCCAGCCACCGCAATTGAATTTGACAAATTGTTTGTTTGAATCCAATACTATATGACATATCTAATAAAAAAAAGTTTGGGACCCCGCAATCAGGACCCTTTTTTTTTTTTTTGGACTTTGTTTTAAATGGTTACTGTAGATACATGAAAATGTCCTGCAATGGTGAAAGCTGGTCCATCTGGAACTGAACTTGACTTGCAAATGGGTCATCTTGGAATCCATCCATGTAATTGAACTGAAAATCAAGGGCATCGCTTAGCTCATTCCATTTGGGTTCACTTTGGACCTCTTTCTCACACGTGATTTCAGGGGACAGCACGTGCTCCGAGGAACTCGAGTCTGTATGCAACCTTGGGACTGAATCTGAAACATCTGTTTGCAATAGATCATCCATCATGGACATTGATGAAGGTTGTTGTTGTGGTTGCTGTGACAGTGCTGTCATATTTTGACCATTGAATAAAACGTTTGGTTTCTGATCTTCAATTTCTGGGTAATTTATCCATTTTTGTTCATTTGGGAAATGCTTCTCTATACATCCTTTCTTGTTGTACAGTCGGCATAGTACCCAATCATCAAGCTGCAATAACAATAAGTAAACCACCGTTTAGAAAAAGTGTAAAAAAATTCCCAACCAATAAGCTAAAAATTGAACTTTGTTGGCAAAAAAATAAAACAAAATGGGGTTAGGTGCAAAGCAATGCAGCAAGCGGCCATTGATAGCTTTTGCAACTTAGCATAAATGAAAAAAACCAAATCTATTGTAGCCACTTGTCATGTTGGACTCCAAATCCTAAAAACTCAAAACCTTAAAATCTAAAAAGTTGAAATTGTATCTAATATATAAAAAATTACGATAATTTGTATTAACACATTAAACTCTAAACATATTTTTTAATGTCAAAATCATTTATGATTTTTTTATTAAAATTTTAAATTATATTATTTTCATATTTTTTATCATGCATTTAAAATTATCATATGGGCAACTTCCATTTGAAAGTGTAAATGTCTATTTTACCACTTTAAAACCTTTTTCAAAGAATAATAATAAAATAGGTAAAAGATTAAGAAATACTGAACTAACCCTCAAGTTGTTCTTCTTCTTGCCAGCGGACCTATCAACATTGGCAAGGCGGTATTCGTGCATAATCCAATTGGTTTTGACACCGCGTGGGGCTTTCCCAGCGTAGAAAACGAGTGCCTTTTTTATGCCCAGTGTCTTGGGCTTCCCAATGGGCTTGTCCGCCCCGGTTGCCTTCCAATATCCGCTTCCAGCCGCCCGGTTTGGCCGACATCCATTCGGATATTTTCGGTCCCTTGGAGAAAAGAAATACCACTCCTTTTCACCGTACAACGCCATATCTACACCAAATATAAAACAAATTAATTAATCACTCTCTTAATAATTAACCAAAGAAAAGGAACCCAATTTCAAATGGGAAAAATATTTGACTTTTTTTTTTCAAATTCCAGAAACTAGCAAAATTACTTAAACCGATGAATCGCTCGAAAATTGGCTGCATGCTTCCTAAATTAGGAAAAATTTTGCTTCTTTTTTCTTTTGTAGAATATAATGATATACTCAATACACCCTTAATCATGAAATCAAACCAAACCCATGAAAATTAGAATCAAATCACAGATACCCATTTCCGAAAACCAAACAAAACAAGCAGAAAAGGTACCTGGAAGCAGCCATGGATCAAACTTGTAGAGGTCAATCTCAGCAATAATAGGAACAGCAATTGGCTGAGATGCGCATTTCCTACACAAATAATGATTGACCAACTCATCATCTGTAGGATGAAATCTGAAACCCGGTGGCAACTCTAACTCTCCCTTCATTCTCTAGAAGAAAAAAAAGGCTTTCTTTTCAAAAACACTTGATTTGCCTTTTTCTTCTCTGTTTGCGTTCTTTCTTTGCTCTGCTTTGTTGGAGGATGGCAGAAGTTGAATTGAACCTAAGAGAACGAGTGAGAACATAGGTTTTATAGGGAAAAAGACACGTGCGGCTGTGTTAAGAACCAAAACATGAGTTAAAGCAGCGCAGCGACCGTTTTCTTTTCGTAGCTGACCGCAGCCCTTACACAAAAGGGTGGGGGAAAGTGGGGGCCACGTGGGTTTGGTCTCTGGATGAACTGTGAAGATTGATTTTGTCATCGCTTCCGTCACGGCCTTTGGACGTTTCCTTAAAAAGTCTCAACGTCCTTTCGTCATCGTTGACTGGTGTTGGAATTTTTATCTTCTACTCCCGTTGTGTCTTGCTTATCGTGTGCCTGTCTATATACTAATTACCTGATGCCACGTTAATACTATCATAGACATCAATTATTCATCCAATTTTCTTCAATGCAGAATGAATTGATCACTCCAGGTAAATATCCACATGTTTGGCATTAAGACAAGTCATTGATAAAACTCGAATTAAATTACACGACATAAAATGAACGATCTTGCCAATTAAATAATATGTTTTTTTGTAATTATTATTCTTTCATCCCAATGTTTTCATCCAATTTTTTTTTTGATTTTATTAAAATTTTAGAAAATGTTTTTATGCATCTAACCTGCAATTATGTTTAAATAAAAAATTTTTTTAATTATATTGATAAATAAATATATAAAATAAATGATAAGAAAAGTATAAGAGGCGATGAAGATGGAAATGAAATTTTTGGAGACAAATAGCATCAGATTTGATATGATATTTTAACATTTTAAGTAAGTTCAAATTTGATTTGATTTGTTTTTTTGAGATTTATTTTTAAAATTTTTTTTTACATATAATAATAATGTTTAAATTTATCAAAAACATTAGTATTTAAATTTTGAGAAATTTTTTTTTATTTTTTGTAAATTATTAATTTAACTAATTTAATTAATTTTAATTAAATTTATAAATTATTTAAACTTGGATCTAATTTAATTTTATTAAATATAATTTAAAATTAGATAATTATTTTTTATATAAAAAAATGAATTTTATCATATTACAAGTAATAAAACAAATGGACCTTATTCATTGTAAAAAAAAAAAAATTTATCTAATTATGATAAAAAATATTTTTAAATTTTCAAACGAGATTCAAACTTTAAATTGTAAAACTCAAGTCTGATTTATTTTTTAAATTTAGTTTTATTTATTTATTTAAATTTATTTAACAAATTTAATATTTATGTTCAAATATTTCAAAATTTCGAATGAATTTTTGAATTCTTACAGATTGCCCAACTTATGAGTAAGTATAATTTATATCAAAAAAAAATTTTTAGATATCTTAAAAATAAAAAAATTATTTCTTTTGAATAACTTTAAATTTTATTTTAAATATTTATTTTATTGATAAAATTAACAAATTATTTTTAATAATATTTTATATATTATAAATTAAAAAAATATTAAATTCGCCCGTGAAAGCGAAGCTTCGGAGGACGAAGGGCGAGTGCAGATGGATAGTGACTGGCAGCGTACTTTGAAAAGTTCAACTGGGAATGGAATTGAACAGCCTAACCCTGCGCTGTGCTGGGTGCTGCTGAAATCACAAACCACCGCAAATTTTATATGCAGCCACAAGTGGGCCTTTTTTTGTCTCTTTCTTTATATAGTATGTTTGAATTATAAATGCGATTAGAACTCGATAATGACAAAAATAAATTGTTTATGTAATAATTTTCATTCCACTTAAATTTATAGTTAACATAAGGTTTCGTTTATTTTACAAAATTAATTTTCAAAAAAATTAATTTTTTTATTTTTTATGTTGGTTTAATAAAATATATATTAATCAACAAAAAAATTATTTATTGATCAATAAAAAATAAATTCTTTTTTTAAAAATAACTTATTGATTTATGATAAATTATACTTTTCATTCATAGTTGATGTTTTGCAATTTATTATTTGTTTATGAAGCAAAAATGTAAAAAAATGTAACTGTTCTTTAATATTTGAAGGCCCATACACAAACTATGTAGGTTTTTTTTTTTTTTTTTTTTATGCATGATTCTACTTTTATATTTATATTATACATAATTAATGTTGCATTTTAATTATTTATCCATTTTAAGTCAATGGTGATGTTGTTTGTTATCATTTTTTTTGCAACAATTTTTCAAAAACAAAATAGAAAATTAAAAGCAAATAGAAAAATAATATAAAAAGCACAAACCAAATAAAAACTAAATTATTCAGTATTTCCATATTGAAGAAAAAATTTATAAAAGTAGGTAAGGAAAAAAAAGAGAGATGTAACCTCCCCACCACGTAGCTTGACCCACCCTTTAAAATGTGCCTTACTAAAAGCCAAAAGCTTGTGATTATTATTATATTATTATAAAAATAAAAACATAAAGCTTGTCGTTAAAGTAATAATCACTAATTGGTTAACAAAAGTATTGTTTGATTTAGTGAGCTAATGATGTAACGTGAACTTATGAGTGCTCTCTAGCTGTGATCTTTTACTAATTAAAAAAAAAAATGAGGCATTGAGTTTAGTCTTTCAATCACTGATTTAAATATATATATTTTAAAATTTAATTCAATCAATTTATATAATTATTTTTAAAATATAATAATTAATAAATTTGATATTTAAATTTTAATATTTATAAATTAGTTTTTTTTTAAATATGTGAGTTTAATTTTAATACATGAACAATGTAATTTTTAACTTTATAAATAAAATTTAAAAAATCATAATTTTTATTTTTTAATATATATAAAAATATCTATCATTTTACTAATCAAATTTAAAAAATTCAGCTAATTAGATAAAATAATTTCTATACACATGAAAGCCTTCCCCTGACCATGCCTTTCATTAGTATGAACTTACTGACATGCGGAATGACGATGTGGGATGAAGCCGACCTCACATTTTCGTCTGCCGTGTCATGGATTTATCTGGCCTAGCCTGGCCTCAAGCTTTATCGCACTACTTTCTTTGCTGGGTCCCCATAAATGTGAAGCGAAAACTCGTTTAATCTTAATTTTTTAATTAATTAATTAATCAAAACCATTGACCAACAACGAGTTAACCAAGTTGCAAAGATCGCCGCCGCCCTTTGGAGTATAAAAAAAAGTGATGAAACATGAATGAACGTTACTAGAAAACATCATTGTCATAAAAACGCATAATAGCCTAATTGCGATGGTCCAAGTGAAATGAATATTGGGTCACTTCAATTTCTGGGAACCTTCTTCTCTTAATATTATTCAAACTGCTTCCTCCCCAAGTAGCCGACCTTGACCTTTATTTGACGGCTCATCTGTTTCTGTATCGCTCAACCAACACTCACTCTCAGCTCTATGCTCACTATTTTTGTCCTTTTTTTTTTTGGTATCCAGTGATTTTTCAGTTTATAAAATTTCATCATTGTTGTCGGTTTGAGAGGTTTATGCCATTAACTAAGGCTCTTTTTTCATGCGAGATGAGCGGAGATTCTCACCTTAAAATTAAATGGATGCAACTGCACTTAGAGATGACAATGATTCCTTATAAATAGTATCCCACATCATCTAACTTGATTATATAGGATTCAAATATTTTGTAATTAGATATTTTGACGGGTTTGAATATAAATATTATTATCCGTGTCAAGTTTGAGTAGGGTTCGAGTAGCACCCTTTCAATATCTAATACTCGATAAGTTTTTTTATCAAGATAATATGTTGTGCTTAAATCTGTTACCCAATTATGTTTGCAAATATAAAAATATCCATACTTGTAAATTCTAAATTTACAAATAACTCTTAAAATTGAGAGTTTTATCAAGTGAATGAATTTCAAAATTTGAAATTATTTGCTATTAAAATTAAATCTGTTACCCAATTATGTTTGCAAATATAAAAATATCCATACTTGTAAACTCTAAATTTACAAATAACTCTTAAAATTGAGAGTTTTATCAAGTGAATGAATTTCAAATTTTAAAATTATTTGCTATTAAAATTATATCACATGTAACAACATACTTAAAAGCATAATTGTCGAAGTGTAATCAAATTTTATAATAAAATTAATTTTTAAATTAATTAATTAATTAATTATGCTCAATATTTCTAAGTATAAATATTATTTATAAAATTAAATTAATAAAACTTTCTTACGAAGTAAAGATACCATTCTTAACATATTAAAATACATGATATTTTAATACATAAGATAAAAATCTTAATATACAAACACACATATATATATTATCCTTGTTACTCTCATTTAGTTGGCCAACCCTTGATTAACACGATCAAACCCTAAATTAGTTAAACAATGCACACCCAAGTTGCCATATCATCAATACTAAAAAAAACGGCTCGCATCTCGCCTAATATTTAACTTTCCATTAAGACATCATATCAAAACTAAACATTTAGTTTTTAATTTGTTTTGAATCATTAAATATAATCTATGTCATACTTAGAACCATTAAATACGATTCACAACCACCCACATGAATTTTTCTTCAATTTCACGTATATTTTTTATCAATTATCAATTATTATAATCAAATCATCAACTTTTGTCTCATATATAAAGTAATAAAGAAGCTCACGTACGTAAGACAACACTCATTCTTCATACTTAAGTAATTTCCCTTCATTGTAACTTCTCTCACACGCCTTACTTCCTTCCATACCCTTCCTCAGACACTTTATTAACTTGAGCATTAGAACGTACCCCGAGTGAACAACTCTCTCGCCCTCTAATTGTGTTTTCTAGCTACATGTTTAAGCCATGCCACCTCTAAGAACCTCACACCAACACCCTCTAGCTAAGACACCAAAAATAACGTTAACAATTGGCATCGTCTATGAGAAACGATAGCCATGTCTCCATTCCTTTGAAACTGCAACACTCACCATTAATGCAACAACCCTACCTATAGTTATCTTTGATATAGCAATTGTGCTAACAACCCCTCCACAAATCCCATCACTAAATATCCCTTCTTGGAATTCTTTGTTCCCCAACAACCCTCTCTTA